TTCTAATGAATCAAGATAACCATTTGTTTCGGTATAAATAGTCGGTACATGTTCTTCTACCCCAAGAGGGGCAGATTGGGATTGTTTAAGCAATTCACGTAAGAGTTGACCTCTTGCCAATTGATTCTGAGTAGCTTTATTGAGATCAGAAGCAAATTGTGCAAAAGCTTCTAATTCTGCGAATTGTGCCAATTCCAATTTTAATTTACCGGCTACTTGTTTCATAGCTTTAATTTGAGCTGCAGACCCCACTCTGGAAACAGAGACCCCACATTAATAGCGGGTCAGATTCCAACATTGAATAGATCAATAGATAAGAATATTTGTCCATTAGTAATCGAAATGACATTAGTAGGAATATAAGCTGAAACATCTCTCGATTGGGTTTCCACTATTGGTAAAGCGGTCATACTTCCTTCACCTAAAAGATAAATTAATTTAGCAGCTCTTTCCAAAAGGCGTGAATGTAAATAAAAAACATCCCCTGGATAAGCTTCGCGCCCAGGTGGTCTTTGTAATAGAAGAGACATTTGGTGATAAGCTTGGGCTTGTTTAGAGGGATCATCATAAATGATTGAATTGTGTCGTTCACGGTACATAAAATATTCAGCCAGAGCTGCTCCTATATAAGGAGCGAGGTATTGTAATGTAGTAGGGGAATCTGCCGTTCCGGCTACCATAATGGTATATTCCATCGCGCCCCTTTCCTGGAAATTAGTTACTACTTGAGTCACAGAAGATGCTTTTTGACCAATAGCTACATAAACGCATATTACATTTTTACCTTGTTGATTTAGAATTGTATCTGTTGCTACTGCTGTTTTACCGGTCTGCCTGTCCCCAATAATTAATTCTCGCTGACCACATCCTATCGGAATCATTGAATCAATAGTAATAAGCCCTGTTTGAAGAGGCTCATATATAGAACGTCGAGAAATAATCCATGGAGCGGGCGATTCAACTAACCTATATTCAAAAGATGAAATTTCACCTCTACCATCAATAGGTTTAGCCAGTGCGTTTATAACACGACCCAAATAGGCCTCACTCATTTAAGCAATTCTTCCTGTTGCTTTTATAGAACTCCCTTCTTGTATCATCAAACCATCACCCATTAATAAAACACCAACATTAGTTGATTCCAAATTAAGAGCAATGCCTATTGTATCCTCTTCAAATTCTACTAATTCACCCGCCATTACTTCATCAAGACCATGAATACGAGCAATGCCATCAACTACTTGAAGTACGGTACCAGTATTTACAATCTTTACTTCTCTATTTTATTGCTCAATACGTTCATGGATAATATTACTAATTTCGTCGACTTGAATGGTTACCATGAGTATTTCTTAATTCTTTTTTTGGAAATAAATAAATAAAAAATAATGCCTAAAATAGAAGGACTAATCCGTTATTTCTTTCATCGCCCCCAATATGCCAATATTGGCACTGATAGTACGCAAATGTAACTCGTTGTTTAAACAACTATTCAGAGTTCCTAGAGCTCCTTGTAAGGCTTGTTGGAAAACCCGTTATCGGACTTGATTACTCGCTTTTTGTTGTTCAAAATTTATAGTTTCATTTTTGTAATTTTCTAGTTGTTCCAAAGTCTTATAAGTTGAATCAATCAAATTCAATTTTTCTCGCTCTATCTCAGAGTATCCATTCATGCGAAACTGATATGCTTCTATTTCTACTTTCCGTAAGCGAGCCCGGGCTTTTTCAAGCTGTTTGATGGCCCCCTCGCGCAATTCTTCTGAATTTCTAATAGTATTCAAGATTCTATGTTTTCAATTATCTAATAAATCACTTAATGAAAGTAGATTATCTTTCCATTCATTTCAAAAATTCCATGATCCCTTCGCGAACCAAACATGAATCTTTCAATTCATCTGGCATTTTGGCTCTCATGCTCAATGTAAATTCTCATATCTTTATTGTTAATGTAATGAGCATATCCTCTATTCTCTTGTCATATTCCAAAATGAAATCAAAATATCAAAAGGAATCACTAATCCAAGACCAAAATATTCGGAGGACTCTTCTGACCAAACAAAAAATATGTAATTTTCAGCAAAGTTGTTCACTTTTTTTTTAATCCAAGAAGTTTTTCTTACTTTATACACAATACATAGGTCATCATTCAACATTGGATAAAAAAGGGGATAAAATCCCCAATTAAGTAGTTCAAATCATTTTATCGATATGAGTGTTCTATATTGATAAAATCTTTATTTTGAAACCATCTCTATATTAACATTAACATAGTGGTCGAAAGAGTACCATGTTGCGTCTGGACTTCAAACAATTTAGCTTTAACCATGTGAACGGTCCCACATTATTGGTTGATAGAGAATCAAAGTGGATTTTCCAATAAATTACGAAATGTTATAGTTCTTACATATGATTTCTGAATTTATTCAGAAGTAATTCGCGAGATCATGCACCCTTCTTTATTAGGTATAACTTTCCTAGTTATAACAGAAAAAGTACATCTGGTTCGATCCAGCCTATTCTTGAAATAAACAACTCGCACACACTCCCTTTCCAAAAAAGATCAAGACACCAAGCACTACACTTAGATTTACTAGATTTGTTGCAAAAATATCGGTATTAAACCCAAAACTCCCAGCGAATGGCCAGTGGCCCAAAGAAGCGAAAGAATCGATTACATTTTTCATATGATCTCCTCGTATAGATAGACTAAAAAATTGAACATACTTCTTTTTGTATTACTTTGCCCTCTTTATATATATATATATATATATATATATATATATATATATATATATATATATATATATATATATATATTGATATTGCTAGTTTCCTACTTTCTAAATAGAATAGATTTTTTATTCGATTTAGAAATAATGAATTACCTCCTTGGTTGCAACCCCTCTTAAAAACTAAAAAAAGGCCTACGAACACGAACGGGAAGGATGAGAGCGAGTTGGTATGCTAATTCCTCATCCGCAAATCAGCCCTTCCCGTGGGTTATTTTCTCAACGAATAAGTAATTCTAGGAATGAAATCTTTATTTAATTCGAAAAAGTAAAGCACAAGTCCAAGACAATAAAATATGAAATTTTTTGATTTTTCATATTTTGAATATTAAACAAAAGGATTCGCAAATAAAAGTGCTAATGCTACAACCACGCCATAAATGGTTAAAGCTTCCATAAAAGCTAGACTAAGCAATAAAGTAACTCGTATTTTTCCCTCCACCTCAAGCTATCTCGCGATACCTTCTACAGCTTGACCCGTAGTAGTACCTTGACCAACTCCAGGTCCAATAGAAGCAAGCTCTACAGCCAATCCAGCAGCAATAACAGAAGCGACAGAAATCAGTGGATTCATGTTAAGTTCCTCGTACCAAAAAAAAAGGTTAATGATACATTCAACCAATGGACTATGACTTAATGATTCCATTGCTATTATTCATACAGTCGAAGTAACTACGAACTTTGAATTTAAGTAATAACATTCTTGAATCATCAAAACGACTTTGATATCTCTTTTTTAGTTTCTATCGAGAAAGTCTTTGTGAATCCATACAACTTTAGTTTTTCCGTTTCTTTGTCCCAAAATGCTCTTTGAATTCTTCGATTTTTTTATTGACTTAATCCGTTTATTCATTGAACTCACAGTCACAGATGAGACAAAAAGACTTATATAGAATCCCCATCTACGTTCACATTCGATTAGTAGGGCAAATTAGATATATCTTTAGCTCATATATAACTAGTCAATATCTAATATCACTTATACATGTCTTTCTTCCACAATGTAAACCAACTCTTCCGTAATCTTTAATTCAAGCTGATTTGATAAGGATGTGTCTAACCCTTGACAAGAGTTAACTTATAGCCATTCAATTCCATATACCTAGTTCGACCTCGCCTCTACGAACCATTTATAAATCCTCCTTTTTTAGAAATTATCCTTTCCCTTTCTTTATCATTATCACGCAACCTAAATTGATAAGATAATAAATGGATAAATTGATTGGACCGAATCGTTGCATAGAAATTGATTTGATTGATATAAGTTCGTATAATTTATTATTTATTAATATTTTTGTTTGGTCAACCGTTGAATAAAATCAACTGAAAAGGGGGAATCGTTCTCTAGAACATCCTTTTTTTTATTTAATCACACATCGTACAAAACTTCTTCATCAAATTACAACTCCGAATAGTTCATATTTGGATTCGATGACCAATCTAAACTCAATATTCATTGAGGGGAAAGTATGATTATGATATAAATGCACTAAACGGGAATTTTAGGAAAAAGATCTTTGAGATCTCTTTCTTTTTTTTTTTTTTTTTTTTTTAAAATTCTCTACTCTAATATCAATATTGTAATCTTTATTGTAATCTTTTTTTCTATTAATCTAGATCATATATAGTGTAGTTGGATATTTTCATTCCCTAAATCAATTTTTTTTAACAATACAACATTGCCTTAGGTTAAACTAAAAAAAAACTATTTAGAATACTAGTCAATAGTGGCCCTCTATGGATTCACTTATATAAGCCCAACTAAAGTTGCAAAAATAAGAGCTTGAATACCACTTGTAAATAATCTAAGGAACATGACAGGGATAAGAACCACTGAATGTACTAAAGAAACAAGAACAACAACTACTAATTCATCAGCTAATATATTTCTGAAAAGTCGAAAACTAAATGATAGGGGCTTTGTGAAATCTTCTATGATGTTAATAGGTAAAAGAATTGGAGTTGGTTGAATGTATTTACCGAAATATCCTAATCTTTTTTTGTTAAGACCCGCATAGAAATATACCATTGATGTGAGTAAAGCCAAAGCAACAGTAGTATTTATATCATTCGTGGGGACGGTTAACTCCCTATTTCCTTGGTGTTTCTTTTTGACCAGTCAAGATCGAAGGAACCCACCTCCGTTTTTCTTTCTCGATCAGTAACAGATGGGAGGCCTCAAACTTTAATTTAAAGAGTCGGTGAGTAACAATGGGAGAGATAGAGCATAAAAACGATGATGCGTACTTTGGAAAAGCAACCGGTGACATGAACAAATATAGACATGGTGGTGTGGTGGAGCAATCCATTGGGAAATAGAAACAATGGCCAACGACTCATACCCTATTTATAGGATTGGCAAAAAATAACTTAAAAAATAAATATTGCAGAAAAGAATAAAATAATAATAAAAAAATCTACACCAATAAAAACAGAATACGGTTCATAAAGGGGGTTCAAAATTAAACTCTATATATAACGAAACAAACAAACAACGATAATTTTTGAGTTTGCAATATGCTCCAATAAGTAGTTTGACAAGTTGACTTAACTTAAAGGCAAGTATTTGGCAAACACCCCCAATAAACCTTTTTGTAATTCAACCATTCCCGTTTGAACCGCAAAACACTTCCCTTTCCCCCCACCTTCGGCCCGGCCGCCGCCGCCGGATATAACAAAATCCAGCGATTGTTCTGGAAGATATATTTTGGCTCCTTCAAATTCGGTAAGTTCCGTTTATTGTTTTAATTTCAGGCTCGAGTTTTGAATTTCTAGTTACCGATGATTTTCATCAAAACCTTGAACCTTTTGTCAACTTCAAGATTAATATCGAACCAGATTGACCTTCTTGGAAGTAGTTTATTCACTCTATAATGGACTCTGAATCTCACTGTATCCTCTTCGTACGCTGTATGAATTCGAGAATATCTTGTGTGGAAACGCCACCACCGCGTCATCCTTTGGAAACATGCTTATGCAAATTGCCAAATTCTATTATTCTTGACCCGAAAATGAGATTTTGTAATTCATGTAGATCCTTATAAACTGTTTTCTGCGCCCTTGATTCATTGTTATGCTGCTCTTGATTAGCCTCGTGGAGATAACTCAAGATTTCATAGAAGAAGAAGATGATGATGACCAGCCATCTACAGTAGTATCAAAACAGAAACAAAACAATGGCATTGAAAAATAAAGTGCAAAGCATTGTAGTTTCCTGGTGGAGAAAGAATCCCCTATTGTTATCCACCTCAAGGACTCTAAATACCTCTGCAACTGGTTATGATAACCAAATCCTCAAGTCTCCTCCTCTTGTTTCCCTAGATTTCCCTGATGTATGGACTTCTAGTTCTACCAATTATAATCCTCCATCGACCCCCAAACTCGGTAAACAGATTATTTGATAATCCAAATTGAAATTTCATTCACATTTTTTGTGTTTGTTACATCTTACAAGCATAGCGTGACTGGTATTTGAAAACAGGTAGCGATGAGAAGGAGATTGCTAGAGTGATCGATGGAAAACAAATTGCAGAGGAAATTATATCAGCAGTGGGTGTTGAGGTAAGAAGAATGAAGAACAGAATCGATGAGGTTCCTGGATTGGGTGTGATTTTGGTAGGGGAGAGGAGGGATTCCCTAACATATGTTCGTAACAAGATGAAAGCATGTGAGGAGGCTGGATTCAAGTTTGACTTGACTCAATTTTCAGATAAGTGTAATGAAGATGAAGTTATTGATGCTATAATGAGGTTTAACACAGATCCATCTTTTCATGGTATCCTCGTGCAGCTTCCTCTTCCTCAGGTAATTTGGAAAGAAATAGCAAATTTACTTTGATTTGATTTTGTTGAGACTTGAAACTTGAAACTTGAAACAGCATCTAAACGAAGATAAGATTTTGGGTGTGTTGAGACTGGAAAAGGATGTGGATGGTTTTCATCCAATGAACATGGGACACCTGGCGATGAGGGGAAGAGAACCGTTATTCATCCCATGCACTCCGAAGGGTTGTGTTGAGTTATTGATCAGATCAGGTGTGGAGATAATGGGAAAGAATGCTGTTGTCATTGGTAGAAGCAACATTGTAGGTTTACCCCTGTCCTTGCTGTTACAGGTGATTCTCTCTCTTTCTCTTTTTCTCATGGTATATACAGATTATTATTATTATTTTTAATTTGGAAAATTTAATTAATTGTGGGGTCAGAGGCATAATGCAACTGTTAGTGTTGTTAATGAATCAACATCAAACCCTGAAGAAATAACACGAGAAGCTGACATTGTGGTGAGTGCGGTTGGAATACCTAATTTGGTGCGTGGAGACTGGATCAAACCTGGTGCTGTTGTTGTTGATGTTGGAACTCATCCTGTTGAGGTATTATAATTCCTTAATTATATAAATATCAATTGAAAACATTTTTAAAAAAAAACTTAGTTTGAAAAGAATAGTAACGGTTAAATTGGGTGTGTAGGAGGAGGGGGGTTGTGAGGAAGGAGGTTATCGGTTGATAGGGGATGTGTGCTTTGAGGAAGCATCAAGGGTAGCTTCGTCAATTACTCCTGTGCCAGGTGGAGTGGGCCCCATGACTGTTGCCATGTTGCTTTGCAATACCCTTGAGTCAGCTGCACGTAAATACAACTTTGTTTGACGAGTTGGTGTTTGGGTTCACATTTTAGGGGGATAAGATAAAAAAAGGTTTATGTATGTTGTTTAATTATTGCAAAATGTATATTCCATTAATGGGTTTGGTTTAAATTAGGGTAGATTAGAATTTGTTTTGGACTTTTTGATGTCTATTCAGTTCAAGACCTGTAAAGTTTTTATATATGCTTATTTAAAACACATACAGGTCAAAAAGTCTTACATTTTCCACCAATCAAGGCAATTTTTAGGTCTATCTAATATCTATTACCTTTTGATGCCACTTATATCTATTTAGGACCACTTACTTACTTATATCTTGCTTTGGTACGGGTTGATTTAAAAAATGATTAAACTTAAAGTATAAAAATAAAATAATTTTTAATGTACAACTTTAAAATAAGAAAGAAAGAAACTTATTTATTACAATTTAATATCATATATATGATATTTAATATTTTACATATATAAGTATATGACTTTAATTAAAAATTAAAACAAACAAAAAATTGACAAGTGGATAATATTTATTTTAAAATTACCACAAAATGACAAGTATCAAAACTCATGAGAGATTGACAAGTGACAAAAAAATCTTCATTTATTAAGGAGGATTTAGGACCAACTAAAATAACTTTAGGTCAATCTATAAGATATTTTTTTGACATCTACCTAAATATCTATTTAGGTACTCTATTGAAACCGAAAGTGTTTTTAGTTCTGTTAAGATTTGTTTTAAGTATTTTATGTTATTTCAGAACATACTAAGGTCAATTTGGGAAATTAAGTTTTATATAAAATTATTTAAAAATATTTAGGGGACAGAATCAATTAAAGTCTTAAAAGTCTACACATGGCCTACTAAGATATACAGCGGACCAATTTGACACAATTTAGGACTCAATTAAGACAAGTTAGGACCTACAAAGATCTACTTAGGTCCTACTAAGTGTAGTTAAATATATTTAAGTCATTTTAGTTGTACTTAGATTTATTATAGGCCTACTTATATTTATTTAAAAATTATTAAGGTCTATTTATGTATATCAATATATTTGTGTCCAGTTATCAAAACTTTTTCCCACGGTTAAACTTTTTAATATAATTTTTTTAAACAAACTAATTCTTTTTAACTTGTCTAAAATGTTATATAAGACCTTCTTATCTAACCATATTCACGTCTATTTGGATGTATTTATGAAAATAAAATTAGTTAAAAGTACTTTAAGAAGTATTAAGGTGAATTAGTACCAAATAAGTTGTTTAAAACATGTGCACAATCCCTTTATAGTTTTTATAGATACAACTTGTTAAATTGCAAGATACATAGTTACATATATAGATCATCATGTGAAACAGACAAACACCTTGCATTAATTGCACATTTCTTCATCTGTTGATTCCACAACTGGAGCTATACAGTCCACCTTGTATCGAAGGGCCTGTTAATCAACATGTTTAAAGAATTAAAGTCACCTATTTTATTCTTAAATATTTATTCAAGTAAAATTCTATCGTTAAATTTCAATCAATCGTTTCAGGTTTACTGCTTAAATTATGAAACACCAACCTTTTTGAAGAACGTTGAAAAAGAATTATCCCAAATCAGCGTATACTTGCCACCCATGATTGTACAAAAGTTACCCTGCAACACAATTCATCAAATCATTAAAATAATGTTAAATTCATAATTCTGAAAATGCATTGCAGGGATGACTTAAGTTTTATTTATTTTTTCAAAAAAAAAAAAAAAAAAAAAAGTTACTTACTTGGTCAGACTCATACCGCCTATAAGGCAAGATAAGCTATATAACATGAAACACATTAAAAAACCAATTAACAAAAAAAAAAAAAAAATACAAGAGAGAACATGATAATAAAAAAAAATTATAACTGTAATATCGGCATGGCTTAACTTACTGTTTTTTGTCCCGAAGAATTTGTGTACTCTATGCTGAATCCAATATTCTGTGCAACATTTCACATATCAACATCTGAATAATTTCATTGCTTACTTACAATGGAAAAAGGACTTATAAAAATTATTTAGTTATTTTCAACTAAAAATAAAGCTGAAAATATATAGTAGATATGTACCATGCTAATTCTCCCTTGTGCTATGGAGAAATCCCAAGCAATGTATGAATTTACTGATTCCACATCCAATGAAACCTAAACGGAAAAAGAATGTAATTTAAGCGATAAAGTTTTAAATACAGTGATAATATAATGTCAAGTAGAAAAAAAAAAAAGGAAAAAGGAAAAATTTGATATTGGGTAAAGAAGTACCTCAAAAGTTGTCCCTGCGAGGACACTTGTTTCTCTATAGTCATCATTTTTACTACAAAAAAAAAATCATAATATAAAGATAATAAATCATTTCAATAATTCATAATAGATAAAGGACGATTTAAGTTTTAATACTTACGTTGCTTCTATTGCACCAGCTTCCTCAGCCGTAACAAAGAAAGGAGAATTTGCAAAAACTTCCCTATAAAAACATATACAAGACACTTTTCATCATTTACAAACCAATACCAATATGCCATGTGTCCTTCAATCAACACAAACAAATAAGTAAGCACTTATTCATTACCCAATGAAACTCAAGAATCGTTCCAACTCAGACGCATAGACATTAATCGCTTCTTGTAACATACATATTTGATTCTTCTCCCTGGTTATTATTATAATTTATAAATGAAAATCAAATCACTTGTTGCACAACTTAAAAACTAATAAATAAAAAGATGGCTGAAGCTCACAATTTGATATCTTGAAAGCGCCACCATGACAAAGAAATGAAAAGGTGAATATTTAGCACCAAATTTGTAAGGGCATACATAGGGGGACCATAGCGATACCTCTGTTCCTCCATTGGCCTAAATATGTAACATTTTAGCAACTCAAGACCAATTTTTTATTTTTTTAAATATTTTTATAGAAAAGATTAAGAAATACATATATACCCTTGATCATCATTTATCTGCTTTACAAAATCCAGTAGAACCTGTGGCACACCTACTAAGTATTTCACAACCGTCTTATACACACCTGCAGCTGAACCCAGTTGAGCTAACTGTCTTCTCCTGGACACAAATACTTTTATTAAATAATATAATAATAATAATAACAACAACAATAATAATAATAATAATAATAATTACCTTTCCATTTGTTGATGCCATAGGAGAGCATATTTATCGCGTATGGATGCACCAGAGGTTACAATTGCATCCACTTGAGCTTTTTTATTCCTCTCAGAGCGCTCTCTTTGTTGTCTAATTAGTGCACCTCGAAAGTCTTGGGGCATATATGTCATAACTGTTGCCATTTATTTTTATATATAAAAAAAAAAGACGCATCAAGACTTGAATATCATTACATAATTGGAAAATAAAAAAGGCTCTGAGAATACTAACCTGTGTTGAACACATTTTCAGAACTCTTGGATTGGAAGGATTCCAAAACCTTCAATATACCTTCACATTTATCTTTTAGCTTTTTAAGAAGATGACCAAGTTCAACATCTTCGGGTGTGGACTGATCTTGAAGCTGATTTTTAAACAAACAGGAAAACTTCTGTATAACCCTTTTGCTAAATGGATTTTTAAGATGTGTCAAACAAGAATTCAAAAAACTTTGATTCTCACCGATTTTGGCCAATGAGAACGTTCTAGCAAGAAAATGATTTCTTCAATCTGCTCTCGATTTTTCCACATGTTCTCATCAATTTTATGTGGTGGCTGCATCTCCACTTCTTTTATCAACAATCTTTCTCCTGAAGTCAATGGACATTAGGGTTTTATGCACAACCAAAAGGGGCACAAAGACTAAATAGTACTTATAGCATCTCAAGAAAAAGAAAATCCTAATTGATCTTCCAACAAGAGAAATACCCTTGTTGATCTTCTATCGAAAGCTATTTTACAGTATTACGAGTAAGGAATTGTGAAATTACACGACAGAAAACGAAAATAAGCGGGGTAAATAAATAATCGAACCTTCTGGAAGCGGAAGGGAAGTCTTCCGCAGATGGTCGGAACAGGTGTGAAGCTGTTGGGAAAGGCGGGAAACGTCGTCGGAAATGGGAGGAAATTGGTGTTTATCATAGTAAGAAGAAAGAAAAGCTCTGGTTATGGGAAGCATACCACCTTTGGAAGGCATTCTAATTGATAATTGATTGATCGCTCAGATCAGGCTCTGCTCTGTATAACTAACTAGTGCTGCTGCATTGATTCACTTTGTAGTATGCAAAATTCATCGATCTTGTTCTTCATCCAGAAAGGTATAATTATTTGTTGGGGACTATAAAGTAATGAAATTTGAGGATAGAGAAAAGAGAATATCCTGAGTTTAGAAGAAGATCCTTGCTTGGTGGCGGTGGGTGACGAAGGAAGAAAAGGAACCACCAACTTTACCGTTACGATTCGGTGTTCCATTCATTTATGTTTCTTTCGAAGTTGGTTAACTCCATCAGCATTTATTTTCAATTTTTCACTTTTTCGTTTTATTAATATTATTATTACAAACTACAAACTACAAACTAAACATCCAACATACAAAATAATGTTCCTTCAAAATTTATTGTTTAATGACGATCAATCATATTTCTAGTAATATTTTTTTTCTATACACACTAATTTAATTTTTATAATACAACTCTCGTTGTATGTAGAGAAAAACTGTTAGCGTACGAAAGCAACTATTTGTTTTTTTATTTTTTTTTAAAACACTATCCTCATGATAAAATGAAATCATCTTATGATAAATTTAATATTGTTGGGATTATTACATGGCATTTGAATATATATATATATATATATATATATATATATATATATATATATATATATATATATATATATATATAGGGTTAAGTTAATTTGAGACCACTTATATTTTGTGAGACCGTGAGACGCATTTTTTTATTTATTTTTATTTTTTTTAGTTAATTCATGTTCCGAAAATAATATTTAAAAAAAGAATTTTTTGATTTATCCATTTATTTTGCATTTTAAAATTATTTTTAGAATATGTACAATGTAATATTCTATTTAGAATATTTCACGTATTATTAAAAAAAAAATAGAATTTTTTTTAATTTTTTTTAGTTAATTCAAGTTCCGAAAATAATATTTAAAAAAAGAATTTTTAGATTTTTCCATTTATTTTGCATTTTAAAATTATTTTTTAGAATATGTCAGTATAATATTCTATTTAGAATATTTCACGTATTTT